TTCTACCTCACTATACGCAAATTTACATTTATTTAACTTTATACGGAGACTATAATCAGTTAAGTGTCTCAAAACTTTTTGAGCTAACTCATAATGCTCATCTATGGTGTTGTTTGCAATAATTCTGTGGTCATAAGCAATAATCGCCTCAGTCGAAAAACCTGAATTCGAGAAAAAACGCTTTAAAGATTTGGATTGTAATGTTAACCTTATGGGTAAACCAAAATATTTTCATCTATAACTTTTTAAATAGCCTAGGTAACGAGATAGGAGTTCCACATACACATGGAATAGTAGTTGCAGAAAACTATAGCATATATAACTCAATTCTTTCTTAAGTCGACTTAGGCGGTTATTGACCACAGACCACAGAATTATATCATCCCTATATACCATAATTTTGTTATTATCGACAAATTTTCTTAAAATTGTTATAATAGATCTCTGAAATATGGCGGGTCCATTTTTCAAACCAAACAGCATTCTTAAAAATTCATATTGGCCGTTTGGGATAAAAAAATATATATTTTATATATTCGCTGCCCATTTTTACATGATAAAAACCCGATTCGAGATCTATGACAGTGAAAATTGTATTGCCCTCTAAGTATTTTAAACAGTCCTCGATTAATGTTAGAGGATAGTTGTTACTTTGTTGTGAGTTACTGTGTCCAATTATTCCTTTTTTCTATTATATTGTTAACTTCGTTTTTCTCTCCGAATGAGAAACGCCTAGCCTCGCAAAACGTTAAATATTTTCAAAAAATCTCTCCCGAGCAAGAGTGGAAAAGGTAACCAGTGCCACGACCATTTTCCTAAAATTTTATGAAAAACGAATTTTGTGCTAATGAACCATGGTATATATCAAATTTAAGTAAATATCGATGAATTCCTTAGCCACCCAGCTCAAAAAATCTGAAAGTCCGCTACATACACACACATAAATTCAAGCCCGTATTTTTGCTTAAATAGCTTAACTTCGCAATGGAGTGCAATGGGGTATAGTCATTGCGCTGGGTGTGCAGTTACAGTTGCATGGCTATACTCAATCCCGACTCTTGCGTCCTCGTTCGCGCACTCTGGGCAAAGTGAGCAACCCATGTGCGAGATGCGGTAACCAATCCGAGTGGAGCCTTGGGTCACGGAAGAAAGAGAGGGAGCTTTGGTGGGGCCACTCTGACTTATTCGGTTTAAGGGCTCACTGAAGTCTGCAGCGTCTGTTCACCAGTAGGTGCGGCTGCATGCGGGTGTCTGCTTGGAGCAAGCGGCTAGCTATATAAACGTGTATTTCGTTGCGAAACCATCCCCGTCCCAGCAATGGGTTGTGCGCTGGGGTTGGGACCCGCCACGTAAATACGACTTCCAGTGAAGAAGCAAGGCAAAGCCTCGGATGAGAACCCCCCCTTATGATGACGACCACGGCAAACGTTTAAAGGACTACGATTTGAGGGCATGCACCTGGAATGTCCGGACCCTTAATGGGGAAGGTGCCTCTGCCCGGCTGGTTTCGTAAGGACAAAAGCTGACATCAACGCCGTCCAAGAAATGCGTTGGACGGGGCAAGGCACACAATGTCTGGGGCTTTGCGACGTCTACTACAGCTGCCATGTAAAGGAGCGCAAATTCGGAGTTGGATTTGTGGTGGGAGAGAGACTCCGTCGCCGAGTACTGTCGTTCACCCCGGTGGACGAGCGTCTAGCCACAATCCGCATCAAAGCGAGATTCTTCAACATCTCGCTCATCTGCGCCCATGCCCCGACGGAAGAGAAGGATGAGGCATCCAAGGATCTCTTCTATGAGCGCTTGGAGCGCACGTACGAGCGCTGCCCCCGTCATGATATCAAAATCGTGCTTGGCGACTTCAATGCCAGGGTGGGCAAAGAAGGGATCTTTGGAACCACCGTCGGAAAATTCAGCCTCCACGACGAAACGTCCGACAACGGATTGAGGCTGATCGACTTCGCCGGGGCCCGAAACATGGTAGTATGCAGTACTAGGTTCAAGCATAAAAAGATCCATCAAGCTACCTGGCTGTCTCCGGATCGAAAAACGAGAAACCAAATCGATCATGTTGTGATAGACGGAAGGCACGCTTCCAGTGTTTTAGACGTACGCACACTCCGAGGCCCAAACATCGACTCGGACCACTATCTTGTTGCAGCCAAGATACGCACCCGCCTATGTGCAGCAAAAAATGTGCGCCCAAATATGCAAGGAAAGCTTAACGTCGAAAAGCTGCAATCACAACAGACAGCCAGCGCTTTCGCTACTCGACTCTCACACCTGCTCTCAGAGAGCACTCTTCAACAAACCGACATATGCGAGCAGTGGAACCACATTTCCCGCTCATTAAGTACCGCCGGCGAAGAAGTAGTCGGATTTCAGCGAGCCCGAAAGAACAACTGGTACGATGAGGAGTGTCAGGAAGCTGCAGAGAAAAAAGATGCCGCCTACAGGGCCACGCTGCGATCGGGCGCAACGCGCGCTATGTGGGACCGCTATAGGGATCTGAAGAGGGAAGCGAGACGTATTTGCCGCAACAAGAAGAGAGAGGCAGAAATACGTGAGTGCGAAGAGCTTGAAATGCTGGCCGACAGGAGGAATGCCCGAAAATTTTACCAGAGAGTTAGGCGACTTACGGAAGGTTTAAAGACCGGGGCGCACTCCTGTAAGAACAATAATGGCGACCTAGTAACTGATGTCCAGAGCGTACTTAAATTATGGAGGGAACACTTTTCCGCCCTACTAAATGGTAGCAGCACGGAAAGTTGTGGAGAAGAAGAACCCGAGCCCGCAGTCGATGATGACGGAGTCGACGTTCCACCGCCTGACTATGACGAGGTACGTATAGCAATAACGCGGCTGAAAAACAACAAAGCCGCTGGAGCTGACAGCCTGCCAGCTGAGCTATTCAAGTACGGCGGCGAGGAGTTGATAAGGTGCATGCATCAACTCTTGTGCAGAATATGGTCAGATGAACGCATGCCCGACGACTGGAATTTAAGTGTGCTCTGCCCAATCCACAAGAAAGGTGACCCCGCCATTCGCGCCAACTACCGCGGGATCAGCCTTCTAAGCATAGGTTACAAGGTCTTATCGAGCGTATTGTGTGAAAGACTGAAGCCCACCGTCAATGAACTGATTGGGCCTTATCAGTGTGGCTTTAGACCTGGCAAATCCACCATAGACCAGGTATTCACAATACGCCAAATCTTGGAAAAGACCCGCGAGAAAAGGATCGACACTCACCACCTATTTGTCGACTTTAAAGCCGCTTTTGACAGCACTAAAAGGAGTTGCCTATACGCCGCTATGTCTGAATTTGGCATCCCCTCAAAACTCATACGGCTGTGTAAAATGACGTTGAGCAATACCACCAGCTCCGTCAGAATTGGAAAAGACCTCTCCGAGCCGTTCGCCACAAAACGGGGTTTCAGACAGGGCGACTCCCTTTCGTGTGACTTCTTTAATCTGATGTTGGAGAAGATAATAAGAGCTGCAGAACTGAACCGCTCAGGAACAATTTACTACAAGAGCGTGCAATTGCTGGCTTATGCCGATGACATCGACATCATCGGTAACAAAAACCGCGAAGTCTGTTCTGCCTTTTCCAAGTTGGATAGGGAAGCAAAGCGCATGGGTCTGGTGGTAAACGAGGACAAGACGAAGTATCTCCTGTCATCAAACAAACAGTCAGCACATTCGCGCCTTGGCACCCACGTCACTGTTGACAGTTACAATTTCGAGAAAGTAGAGAATTTCGTTTACTTGGGAACCAGCATTAACACCGATAATAATGTCAGCATTGAAATCCAACGTAGAATCACTCTTGCCAACAAGTGCTACTTTGGACTGAGTAGGCAATTCAGGAGTAAAGTCCTCTCTCGACGTACGAAAACCACGCTCTATAAGTCACTCATCATGCCCGTGCTGGTATATGGCGCAGAAGCATGGACAATGACAACATCCGATGAGGCGGCTCTTGGGGTGTTTGAGAGAAAGATTTTGCGGAAGATTTACGGTCCTTTACGCGTTGGCGACGGCGAGTACCGCAGACGATGGAACGATGAGCTGTATGAGCTTTACAACGACATGGACATAGTGCAGCGAATTAAAATACAGCGGCTCCGCTGGCTTGGCCATGTCGTTCGAATGGACACCGACGCTCCAGCTCTGAAAGTATTCAACTCGGAACCCGCTGGTGGTAGCAGAGGAAGAGGGAGGCCCCCACTGCGATGGAAAGATCAGGTGGAGAAGGACTTGGCTTCCTTTGGCGTTTCCAATTGGCGTCAGTTGGCACAGAGGAGAAACGACTGGCGTGCTTTGCTGAACTCGACCAAAATCGCTTAGGCGGTTACAGCGCCAAAAAAGAAGAAGAAGCTTAACTTCGACAATTCTTATGCAATTTCATTAAGTGAGGTATCAATTTATTTGAAAATAAATGTTCTTTAAGGTAAATACTACATATTTGGCAACTTTCATACAAATGTCTAGTTTAACAGCAAATTGTGATAAAATGCATTTTAAGTTGACTATGACAAAGTTAAAATGGTGATTATTTAAAAACACAATTTAAGTCGTTGAAACCGTTTTCTAACTTCTCTACGACTACGCTCCAATTGAGCCAAACTTATAATTATAACTCAACGGATAAATTTGTATTAAAAATCTAATTTTTAAACTCCTTTTAGAAAATGACGCAGACCAGTTTAATATGGTTAAATGTGTAGGATGGAAGGCATGTCAGAATCCGATCAAATATTGAAACAATTCGGGGGAAAAAAAACAATACGTTTACCATAAATACCATATTTTAACTGTACTCATAATCGTATTTACCTTTATCTACATATCGTGTATTTAAATTTTTTATTTGCACTTAAATTTCTGGGATAGTTCGTGAATCGTGCGCGTAGTCTATTTGTCAATCAATAAATTTATAAAAACTAAATCGATAAACGACACTAACAATAATGATTTTTAGGAGATTTACCACTTACTTTTTTGATTTTTCTCAATTATTGGTGTGCGATCGCCGGTAGCACTCTTACTATTACTGCCACCGTTGCTGCCCATGTTCTCTCTTTCGCTAGGACAATTTGCGCAGTTTGGTGGCCTCGGAAGGCGGCGCCGCAACCAAGGATGCTTAAGCGCTTCTGCAGGCGTCAATCGTTTTTCTGCATCCCATTCCAGACAACCTCTAATGAAATTTAAGAACAACGCATCTTTGCAACCATCTAAAGCTTTTGACAGACTTTTGGAGCATGGTGGTCCACGTGGCTTTCCTCTACGCGATTGGCCACCTATTAATACGACTGTACCATCGGTCATAGTGCGTACAGTGCAGTACCTTGGAAAACCCTTTGGATTAAAAAAAGCTTTGGCGCGTTTAGCATTGGTTAGCAAGTTTTTGTTAGGCATTCCTAGCACTTCTATTATGCATGCCAATTGATCACTTTCGTTTTCTCCAGGGAATAGAGCATGGCCAGAAAGCAATTCAGCTAAGATGCAACCCAATGACCACATATCGATCGCACGTCCGTATTTAGATCCAAGTATAACTTCAGGTGCGCGGTAGAAACGCGACTGGATATAGGTGTAGACACGTTGACTTTCATAGCACGATGAACCAAAGTCGATCACCTGAGTAGAGAAAGACGCATTTATGCAAACTCCACAGCATGGCGAAATTAAACGAAACCGCTTATAATTGGATATTTCGTGAAACATACGAAACAATTAACAACAATAATAGTAATAATAATAATAATAGATTGTCGCTTACAAATATGTTAGTGTTTGGCAAAGCTTCTTCTCCGATTTGTGGTGAGCGCCTTGATGTGGTCGCACAAAGGAGAGGGACCTACAGTTTCACGTCGACTACGAACGGCGATTGCATTTTTATGAGAAATGGCAGAAATACACTCGGAGGTTTGCCATTGCCTGCCGAGAGGCGATCGCTACTAGAAAAAACTTTATTTTTTTTTTTTTGTTGAACAGGGCTTGAACCCAAGCTCTGCGGAGTGGTAGCGCGCATCACTAACCACTAAATTCGAATAGATACGAACATTTTCAATTTGACATTGGGTTCAGCGATTGATTTTTCGCGAAAAACTGACTCCGATCGACCGAGGACTTGTCCTGATTATGGTTACAATCCCTCCAACTTGTTATTCAAGAAACTAGTTAATACAGTTATTTGATTATTACCGTACGTTTAATTATTTTCTCAATAACGTTTTCCGAAATAAAAGAGTAAAAAATGTTGAATAAAAAATTTGAACAGAAATTTATTTTAGATAACAAACTCAAAAAATTGTAAAGCGGATAGTTAAACATGTTGTTTATGATTTCATAAAGGGTTAAATGCACAGCGGGTCGACGGAAATTCTCGTAGCTAATACTTCTGGGCAGTGGCCAGCGCTGCTTACTCCGTTGCAGGTTAGATTAAGACCTGTATCTCGACTAATTGTACCGGTGCAAGCAGCAGATATTTAGCTAAGACCCTTGTGTGGGTTTGCATCCCTTCCCCAGAGTGACGATTTAGCTGAACAAAAATAAAACACTAATAAGATTGATTATGTGGTACGATTTAAGCAAGAGATCTACCTGTACATAATTTTCTGTTATTATTATTTATTTCATGTAAATATCAAAATGTAAATAGTGCATTGGAACGTAATCCCCTTATTGTATTGGTTTCTTGTATCGTTTAACATTGTTTTGTTTAACACGGCATTTCCCAGGAACGATTGTCCGAGATCTACTTGTACATAATTTTTCTGTTATTATTATTATTTATTTCATGTAAACATCATGTTTCATATTAAAGTGGACAAATACATTTTTCGCAGGGAGTCGGTAAATTTATATTCTTTTATAACAGCATTATGTCAATTATGGCCAAACAAGTATATTATTTAACCAAACATAATTTTCTTATTCATTGGAATTCGATTTCCCACATTTTTACGAAGAAAAACCTTAACCCTTGACGACCAATGGGTCATAAAATGCCACTTTTTAATTTGTGGTTTTAATGAAAAAGTTTCAATGCAGTTTTTTTAATATTCATATCAACGAGAAAACTCCACCTAGTTATAAATGCAATTTATAGAGTCGCTAATTTGAAAAACATTGCCAAATTATATTTTATATTTTGTATTTGTCTATCAGCTGATTCGAATAGATTATTTGGTAGGTGTAAACAAAATACAATTACTCCTAAAGTGATTCAAAGGGAAACCTAAATTTTTGTGAGGACTTTCTAAAAGACTTAAAACAATATTTATATAAAAATTAAATGAGGGTACTCCGGGGTACTTTTTTTATCATCTACAGAATAACTTATTTCCAGTTAATTTTATAGAACTTGTTTAAGTAATTACAATTTTAAAACTGTTATGATGGATTTCCACTAGGCATTAAATGGCAAAAATGGCAAATGACAAAGTAACCGTGGAAACACAATGCCGGCGAACGGCGAACTAACCACAACGAAATTCCCACTGTCGAAATTAGAACACCCGCCGACATATGAAATTGCACACAGCCAAAGCGAAATGCGAAGTTTGCTCGGCGGCGTTTCGTGGCGATAGATTTATTTCTATCGCTCTGCTGGGCGATGGCGGCAGTACATGCCAAAGGTGGCCGTATTATATTTTTGCTTTCAAAGATTTAGAAGAAAACAACATATAACACGAATTATTTTTGTTTGTTGAAAAATACAGTGATCGATTCGTAAAATCTGGCTTTAAATAAAATTATTTATAATAATTCCCCCTTTCCTTATATTTATATTTGTTATAATTTTATCATTTCTAAATATGGTTTCGTTTTTCAAAATATGGTCACCTAAATTATAAGTGCGACGAAATGGTATCAGCTGCTTTCGCTATCGCTCTAATTCTGTTAAAGTTGGCGAAATAGCAGGGCGAACGGTGAACGACGGCATCGCCCAATTCGGCGAGCTTCGCCGTTGATGTTGTTGTAGCGGCTACAACAACCCCGCCCAGATCGGTTGATATCTCAGTCGTTGTCGTCGAGTTCCACTAACGGCAGCCCTAAGAAGCGTGAAGCCTCTACGGGGTCGGTCCACAGGTACAACGTCGTTAGGGTTGTCGGGTTTTTCGGGCATGCGAAGAGATGTTTCGAGTCGTGAGGGGTCTCTCCGCATGCCGGACACTCATTTGGCACATCCTCATTTAGTCTACTCAGGTATGAGTTTAACCTGCTGCAGTAGCCAGAAGCGAACTTGGGCTATTGTTGTTCTTGTCTCCCGAGGCAAATGGAGCTCCGTCGCGTCAATGTCCGGTGTTTGTGTGCCTAGAACGCCATTCACAGGTCTAGAATCTACATAACTCGAGACTGAGTCCCTGTGAATGCCGTTCAGGGCATGTCGGTATGCTGACGGGTCCAGAGGTTGCTTGATGAACCTCTGGACTTCGTCAGTCAGTTCATATAGATTCCTCCTGACGTGTCTAGGCGAGGGCTCCTCTGCAAGCAGCTGTCTGTTTGGGTGGCCGCATCTGTGGCTCCCAACCAGAAACTGCTTGCAGAGCATTATGTTATGCTCCCTAATTGGGAGCATTTTCTCCTCGTCATGAAGGTGGTGTTCGGGTGACATCAGGAGGCATCCGGTCGCGGTGTTCTGTGCTGTTTGTAGCTTCATCCACTGCGTCCTACTAGTCCCCGGCGACCACACTGGTGCTGCGTAGTTTAAAACCGGCCGGCCTATTGCCTTGTATGTTGCCAGCAACGTTTCTTAGTCTTTGCCCCAGGTACTGCCGGCTAGCGACTTGAGGACTTTGTTGCGGCTCTGTACTATGTTGGCAATAGCGGTTGCGTGCGCAGAGAAGGAGAGCAGGCTGTCGAATGTTACTCCGAGTATTTTGGGATTATTCACCGTCGAAGAAGTGAAGAAGCGAGAAAGATCGGAGAGATACCCATTTACTTTCGAACACAAGCCATCAATTCCATTCCCAGTCGCCATGATCGAGCAATCGTCGGCGTAAGAGACAATCGAGACTCCCTCTGGTGGTGGAAATATAAAAGTTGAACAGTAGCGGGGAAATGACACCACCCTGTGGAACCCCCTGTTTGTTTTTCCTAAGTNGGTCTCTCCGCATGCCGGACACTCATTTGGCACATCCTCATTTAGTCTACTCAGGTATGAGTTTAACCTGCTGCAGTAGCCAGAAGCGAACTTGGGCTATTGTTGTTCTTGTCTCCCGAGGCAAATGGAGCTCCGTCGCGTCAATGTCCGGTGTTTGTGTGCCTAGAACGCCATTCACAGGTCTAGAATCTACATAACTCGAGACTGAGTCCCTGTGAATGCCGTTCAGGGCATGTCGGTATGCTGACGGGTCCAGAGGTTGCTTGATGAACCTCTGGACTTCGTCAGTCAGTTCATATAGATTCCTCCTGACGTGTCTAGGCGAGGGCTCCTCTGCAAGCAGCTGTCTGTTTGGGTGGCCGCATCTGTGGCTCCCAACCAGAAACTGCTTGCAGAGCATTATGTTATGCTCCCTAATTGGGAGCATTTTCTCCTCGTCATGAAGGTGGTGTTCGGGTGACATCAGGAGGCATCCGGTCGCGGTGTTCTGTGCTGTTTGTAGCTTCATCCACTGCGTCCTACTAGTCCCCGGCGACCACACTGGTGCTGCGTAGTTTAAAACCGGCCGGCCTATTGCCTTGTATGTTGCCAGCAACGTTTCTTAGTCTTTGCCCCAGGTACTGCCGGCTAGCGACTTGAGGACTTTGTTGCGGCTCTGTACTATGTTGGCAATAGCGGTTGCGTGCGCAGAGAAGGAGAGCAGGCTGTCGAATGTTACTCCGAGTATTTTGGGATTATTCACCGTCGAAGAAGTGAAGAAGCGAGAAAGATCGGAGAGATACCCATTTACTTTCGAACACAAGCCATCAATTCCATTCCCAGTCGCCATGATCGAGCAATCGTCGGCGTAAGAGACAATCGAGACTCCCTCTGGTGGTGGAAATATAAAAGTTGAACAGTAGCGGGGAAATGACACCACCCTGTGGAACCCCCTGTTTGTTTTTCCTAAGTTTGCTCGATTTGTCTCTAAACATTACCGACGAGTAGCGACCACTCAGATAATTTGCCGACCACCGTTTGAGCCTCTGTGGGAGAGAGGAAGTCTCTATATCTTCTAGTAGCGTNCTGACAGTGTCAAACGCCTTTGACAGGTCCAACGCTACTAGAATCGTTCTCTCACAGGGACGGTTACGGTTAAGGCCACGAGTTATCTGAGTGTTTATGCACTTTACTGTGCACTGTGCACTTTACGGAAACCATGCTGATGCTTCGCTGGGGTCAGGTGGTTCGTGAAATACGGGAGCAGCAAGGCCTCTAGTGTCTTCGCTACCGTGGAAAGGAGTGTTATCGGTCGATACGAATCTCCTTTGTTGGCTGATTTCCCCGGTTTGAGCAGTTGGACCACTCTCCCCACCTTCCAGATGTCTAGGATGATGAGAGTAGCCATTGACAAATTGAGGACCTCCGTTAGGTACGCTACTCCCGCAGGACCCAAATTTTTCAGCATCAACATGCATATTCCGTCGGGACCCATGGCTTGGAGGCTTTCGCCTTCCCGATGGCCACCTGAACTTCACCGCAAGTGAAA